TGTTGACTTTGTACATACACACATACATACATACATACATACACACATACATAAATACATACACACATACATACATAAACACAGACATACATAGACACATACATACATACACACATACATACATACATACATACATACATATACACATACATACATATAAATATACATACACACACTTACATACATACATTCAGTACATAAATACCTACATACACAAATACAAACATACATACACACATATATACATACATACATATATACATACACACATACATACATACATACATACATTCATACATACATACATACCCACATACACACATACATACATACACACATACATACATACATACATACATACATACATACATACATACATACATACATAATACATCCATTCATACATACATACATACATACCAACATTTATACATACATACATACATACATACATACATACATACATACATACATACATACATTCATACCTACATACACACACACATACATACATACATACATACATACATACATACATACATACATACATACATACATACATACATACATACATACATACATACACACATACATACACACACACGTACATACATACATACATACATAACTACATACACACATACATACATACACAAATACATACATACATACATTCACACATACATACATACATACACACATAAACACATACTTACATACTTACATACATACATACATGCATACATACATACATACATACATACATACATAAATACATACATAAATACATACATACATACATACATACATACATAAATACATACATAAATACATACATACATACGCCGAATTAGTATGTAGGAATTTGATGAAATATAAACCTCCATTTTTATTTATCACATTGTCTAGACATTTGCTCACTACAGCCCTCACCAAAGCTCAACTCCTGTTTCTTTCGAAAGCCTTCGGCGCCCTTGATTTCTGCTCCATCCGCGACCAAAGTAAGAGAACATGTTACCTAACATTATTTCAATAGGTCAGAGAGGAATAGGGTGCCTAAAAGATTTCTTTTGCCCAGCGCCCCCCACCCCATGCTGTTAAGACGGCCCTTAGTAAATGCATCTGACACAATCAGCGCACGACACCAGGGGAAGAGTGCTAGGAAAATGTGGGGGTACTCACCCAAGATACCCCAGACCCCAAACACTTGCCGGTGTACACATGTTCCAGCAGTGGCGCCGGTGTACACATGTACTAACAGAGGCGCCGCCTTTGACGGTGCTTACTCCCGCGTGTGTCAAGTTGGCAACATGATTTAATCCACAGCACAATGTTATCATAAGGAAAGCTGTCTTGCACATAACACACAGCACAATGTTGTCATAAGGAAAGCTGTCTTACACATAACACACAGCACAATGTTGTCATAACGAAAGCTGTCTTACACATAACACACAGCACAATGTTGTCATAAGGAAAGCTGTCTTACACATAACACACAGCACAATATTGTAATTAGGAAAGCTGTCTTACGCATAACACACAGCACAATGTTGTCATAAAGAACGCTGTCTTACACATAACACACAACACAATGTTGTAATAAGGAAAACTGTCTTACACATAACACACAACACAATGTTGTAATAAGGAAAGCTGTCTTACACATAACACACAACACAATGTTGGCATGTAATAAGGAAAGCTGTCTTACACATAACAACCAACACAATTTCTCATAGAACCCTGTCTTACGCATAAAAATCAACACAATGTGTCATGTGATAAGGAAGCTGTCTTACACATACCAACCAACACAGTGTTCTCATAGCCAAGCTGTCTTACACATACCACCCAACACGGTGTTCTCATAGCCAAGCTCTCTTACACATACCACCAAACACAGTGTTCTCATAGCCAAGCTGTCTTACACATACCACCCAACACGGTGTTCTCATAGCCAAGCTCTCTTACACATACCACCAAACACAGTGTTCTCATAGCCAAGCTATCTTACACATACCACCCAACACAGTGTTCTCATAGCCAAGCTGTCTTACACATACCACCCAACACAGTGTTCTCATAGCCAAGCTGTCTTACACATACCACCCAACACAGTGTTCTCATAGCCAAGCTGTCTTACACATACCAACCAACACAGTGTTCTCATAGCCAAGCTGTCTTACACATACCACCCAACACAGTGTTCTCATAGCCAAGCTGTCTTACACATACCACCCAACACAGTGTTCTCATAGCCAAGCTGTCTTACACATACCACCCTACACAGTGTTCTCATAGCCAAGCTGTCTTACACATACCACCCAACACAGTGTTCTCACAGCCAAGCTGTCTTACACATACCAACCAACACAGTGTTCTCATAGCCAAGCTGTCTTACACATACCAACCAACACAGTGTTCTCATAGCTAGCTGTCTTACACATACCAACCAACACAGTGTTCTCATAGCCAAGCTGTTTTACACATACCAACCAACACAGTGTTCTCATAGCCAAGCTGTCTTACACATACCAACCAACACAGTGTTCTCATAGCCAAGCTGTCTTACACATACCAACCAACACAGTGTTCTCATAGACAAGCTGTCTTACACATACCAACCAACACAGTGTTATGATAGCCAAGCTGTCTTACACATACCAACCAACACAGTGTTCTCATAGCCAAGCTATCTTACACATACCACCCAACACAGTGTTCTCATAGCCAAGCTGTCTTACACATACCACCCAACACAGTGTTCTCATAGCCAAGCTGTCTTACACATACCACCCAACACAGTGTTCTCATAGCCAAGCTGTCTTACACATACCACCCAACACAGTGTTCTCATAGCCAAGCTGTCTTACACATACCACCCAACACAGTGTTCTCATAGCCAAGCTGTCTTACACATACCACCCAACACAGTGTTCTCATAGCCAAGCTGTCTTACACATACCACCCAACACAGTGTTCTCATAGCCTAGCTGTCTTACACATACCACCCAACACAGTGTTCTCATAGCCAAGCTGTCTTACACATACCAACCAACACAGTGTTCTCATAGCCAAGCTGTCTTACACATACAAACCAACACAGTGTTCTCATAGCCAAGCTGTCTTACACATACCACCCAACACAGTGTTCTCATAGCCAAGCTGTCTTACACATACCAACCAACACAGTATTCTCCTAGCCAAGCTGTCTTACACATACCCACCAATACAGTGTTCTCATAGCCAAGCTGTCTTACACATACCAACCAACACAGTGTTCTCATAGCCAAGCTATCTTACACATACCAACCAACACAGTGTTCTCATAGCCAAGCTGTCTTACACATACCACCCAACATAGTGTTCTCATAGCCAAGCTGTCTTACACATACCAACCAACACAGTGTTCTCATAGCCAAGCTGTCTTACACATACCACCCAACACAGTGTTCTCATAGCCAAGCTGTCTTACACATACCAACCAACACAGTGTTCTCATAGCCAAGCTATCTTACACATACCAACCAACACAGTGTTCTCATAGCCAAGCTGTTTTACACATACCAACAAACACAGTGTTCTCATAGCCAATCTGTCTTACACATACCAACCAACACAGTGTTCTCATAGCCAAGCTGTCTTACACATACCACCCAAAACAGTGTTCTCATAGCCAAGCTGTGTTACACATACCAACCAACACAGTGTGCTCATAGCCAAGCTATCTTACACATACCAACCAACACAGTGTTCTCATAGCCAAGCTGTCTTACACATACCAACCAACACAGTGTTCTCATAGCCAAGCTGTCTTACACATACCAACCAACACATTGTTCTCATAGCCAAGCTATCTTACACATACCAACCAACACAGTGTTCTCATAGCCAAGCTGTCTTACACATACCAACCAACACAATGTTCTCATAGCCAAGCTATCTTACACATACCAACCATCACAGTGTTCTCATAGCCAAGCTATCTTACACATACCAACCAACACAGTGTTCTCATAGCCAAGCTGTCTTACACATACCAACCAACACAATGTTCTCATAGCCAAGCTATCTTACACATACCAACCATCACAGTGTTCTCATAGCCAAGCTATCTTACACATACCAACCAACACAGTGTTCTCATAGCCAAGCTGTCTTACACATACCAACCAACACAATGTTCTCATAGCCAAGCTATCTTACACATACCAACCATCACAGTGTTCTCATAGCCAAGCTGTCTTACATATACCACCCAACACAGTGTTCTCATAGCCAAGCTATCTTACACATACCAACCAACACAGTGTTCTCATAGCCAAGCTGTCTTACACATACCAACCAACACAGTGTTCTCATAGCCAAGCTGTCTTACACATACCAACCAACACAGTGTTCTCATAGCCAACTGTCTTACACATACCAACCAACACAGTGTTCTCATAGCAAAGCTGTCTTACACATACCACCAAACACAGTGTTCTCATAGCCAAGCTGTCTAACACATACCACCCAACACATTGTTCTCATAGCCAAGCTGTCTTACACATACCACCCAACACAGTGTTCTCATAGCCAAGCTGTCTTACACATACCACCCAACACAGTGTTCTCATATCCAAGCTGTCTTACACATACCAACCAACACATTGTTCTCATAGCCAAGCTATCTTACACATACCACCCAACACAGTGTTCTCATAGCCAAGCTGTCTTACACATACCAACCAACACAGTGTTCTCATAGCCAAGCTATCTTACACATACCAACCAACACAGTGTTCTCATAGCCAAGCTGTCTTACACATACCATCCAACACAGTGTTCTCATAGCCAAGCTGTCTTACACATACCAACCAACACAGTGTTCACATAGCCAAGCTGTCTTACACATACCACCCAACACAGTGTTCTCATAGCCAAGCTGTCTTACACATACCACCCAACACAGTGTTCTCATAGCCAAGCTGTCTTACACATACCACCCAACACAG